GGCATCACAATATGGTGAGGGGCGTAACATTTCCGTCTCACGGTTGAGGTATTCGGCCAATCACAACGCATTAGATATCTGGCCAATCATAGCACACCTCGCTTTTTCAGACCGATGAGTTTTGTAAAAATCGACGCGTTTCAGAAAGGCGGGGCATAGAGGAGAAACAATAATGTACAGTATGTGGAAAATAATGTGTTTTTTTAACTTTAAACCGCATAAACACATTTCATTACACCAAATACACAAAATAATGTTCTTTTTAGCAGCATCATATAACCCCTTTAATATTTCACAAATGTAAAGGTCCACTGAAGTGCCTTGAGATGCACCGCATTATTCAATGTGCTGACGAAATTTCAACTGAAACAGGAAGACAGGGCGGAATATAGAGCAGCTCCACCCCTTTTTTTATTTATTTATTTAAAATTAAAAAAAAAAAATGTTTATTGCCAATAGTGTTTAGATTACATCATAGCTCGGCCAGAGGCTTTGGTTGGACTTGGTAAAGCCGCATTTGAAAGCTTATGACACAGTCAGAAATAGGCCACAGTCTAATTGGCTCTGATACGTGTTGTGGTCTGAGCTAGAGGGCTGCATTGGGATTGGATCCCACGGAACGCAAATCCCACGGGAGCGGGCGGTTTTACCTTTACTGTGGGCGGTAAAATATATTAGTCAAAAAAATATATAGTGCGGATCCCTAGGGTTGGGTATCGTTTGTATTTTTTTCGATACCGGTGCCAAATCGATACTTTTAAAACGGTTCCGGTGCCTAAATGGTGCCTGAACCGATACTTATTAAAAAATAAATAAATAAAAATTCCCCCAAAAAATGATGGAACGAAAATCGCGGGGGCGAAACACATGTTGCGGGAGCAGGCAGCAATGGTCAGAGATTCAGCGGGAGAGGGATTAAGAAAACAGCCGAATCCCGGACATTTTGGGCAATTAATAAATCCCGGCCGGACGCATTTTTGTAGGTCCAAAAAGAGGACATGTCCGGCGAAAAGAGGACGTATGGTCACCCTAATTTATTGCTAATCGATGTATTCTTTTTAAAGTAGCATATGGAACATATTTTCTGCCTCATTCTGTGACAAGAAGCCTCATCAGATCACAAAAGGAAGCATTTGACTGATGTTGTGGAGTCAAAAGGTTATAATTTTCTCTTTTGTTGGACAACAGGTTTAGAAATGTGAATACAAGGGAAATTTAGCTTTAGGCATTTTAATTTAAGCATGTTTAGCTTAGTTAACGGAAGGCTACCTGCTGCCATCAGAGCAAGTGTAATTACTGCATTCACGCACTCCTCGATGCTCTCATTTCCCGAGTTGTGCTTTTAAGTCAGAATGTGAAAACAACATGGACAATCTCGTTACTACAAATATTTGTTGGATTTGTATTAGAGCTTTCCGACTTGAGTTCACGTGCATTTTCTCAGTCGGGAAATTATTTTTCACGTGCGGTGCCAGTGATGATGCTTCTTACATCCGTTTCGGAGAACCAGAGGACAAATATTTAAATCGATCGCTCAGGCATGGCACCGAAATCTGCGTTCGGATTCGGTTCTAGTACATACCGGTTACATAGGTAACGGTGCCATATTGGTACCGGGTTTCAGTACCCAACCCTACTGATGAACAGAAAGTTATTTGAAATAAAAATATTGTGTAACGTTATAAATGTCTTTTCTATCACTTTTGATCACTTTAATGCATCCTTGCTGAATAAAAGTATTTTCTTACAGAAATTTTTTTTTTACAAAAAAGCTTTTGAACAGTAGTGTACAGTAAATCAATGGTACAAAACATAAAACAAACAAACAAAACAAATAAGTAAGTAAAAATAAAGAATTTTTGTCAAATAAAGGGGCATTTATGTCATTACATTTTAATATTTGGGGCATTTTTCACCACCACATGCCACTAATGCATGTAAAAAGAGGTGCTTAAACTGTATGCACCCTCCATAGAGTATCTAAACATCCTTTGAATATGTTTAATGGGGTGCCCAGAGTTGCATGACAAACCTATGCTGGTGTCCTGCAGCAGTGGGGCGGCAGTGGAGCTCAAGTCCTGTAGCAGACTGCCCAGCTCTAGGAGGGCACATACCAGCACATGCTGACTAGCTGCGACATCCGCAGGACTCACACGTGTCTCCATGTTCCCCTCATGAAGAGCTGCGTCTGACAGAAACACAGGATACATTTAAAAAATTACAACTCAATATCCAATAAAACCTAAATATTCGCCCTCGGTCGAGTTTCTTACCCACAACCCTCTTCTGTTTGCTGATCAATTGACAGATCTCTTTGGCAGCTGCGATTTGGGCCTTCTCCCCCAGCAAAGTGCCAAGAGTGGCCCGCAGTATGAAGGAGACACAACAGCGGCAGGAGACAGCATCTGCGGGGTACTGCGTCGCCCGTGCGTGAGACACCCACACCATGAGAAGAGAAACAAGACAGGAGAAGTGATTCTCCAGCCACACGCCACCCAGAATGGACACAAACACCACACATGTCTGTTTAAGAGAGAGAACAAGTGGTATTCATTTTAAATTACTAAACTGAAATGGATAAAATAAAATAACATAAAATAAATGCATTTTAAAAATAACTTCTATGTAGAAGAACTTTTTTCTGCATAACAGATAACTGATACATAAATAAAGGGAGAAAATTATTTTTTTTCTGATATTATATAACCTTCATTTGTTCTTTTTTTTTTTTTACCCTAGACATAAAGCCAGTCATGCTGTGGCTCAAAACACAAACATTCGGATCACAAGGGAAGGACTGTAGGAGGGTGAGCGACCTGTGTGATGCCCACGCGCACATCTCTGCTGACTGAGCTGATCCCTTTCAACATGTCTCCACTGGCCCGCAGGAAGCCGGCTCCACCCCGCAGGAAGCCAGAACTCAGCAGCTCCATCACCTCCTCTAGGGAGTTGCGCTTGGAGCCTGGCCTCGGAGCTGAGAGCAAACCCACAGGAACAGGGGAGGAAGAATGAAAAGAAGAGAAGCGTGAGAGAGAGTGTGAGGGGATAAATGATAGAACAGATGGAATCGAGTGGGAGGGGAAAGATCAGCATTACATTTGAGGAAAAGAAAAGCAGTATGTGGGTGACCGAGGAGAGGAGGGAATGATTTTTACAATCTCCATGGGTAAATGATCAGCTTGGTGTCCTCTGAAGATGTTTCTGAGATTGCTGAATAAAATCCACCCACCTATGGCCTGTCTGGGCTCCAGTGCAGACGCTAATAAAGTGCCAAGCAGTTTTGAGATGCCGACTCGGACATCATAGTTTGAGCCCTCGAAGGCTCGGAAACAAAGAGTGGCCACGTTCTCCAGCTCTGTGGACCACAGGAAGACAGCCTCTCTCTGGAGCTCCAGAAGACACTATCAAAAAAATAAAGTTAACTTCACCACTTCATAGTAATTTGGGGAAAACTGGGACAAAATCTGATAGAAAAACTTAATTTTAACTATTATAGTCATTATAATAGAAATTAACTTTATTAATAGGCAATAAAGTCTACTGGTATTGATTTCAAGTTTTGTTATTAACCTTTTTTTTCTCTAACCATAAAGCACACAACATTTATATGCAATATTTACCCACAGATTGGAAAAGAATATACAATATACAATCAAATATAACAAAGGTTAAGATAAAAAGAGAAAAAAAATTATTATAGTAAATGATTATAGTAATATTTAGTAACATACAGTAATATTTTAAATATTCTTTTCATCACAACAAAGACACACCACACCCCAGAACACAATACAAAAAAATTAATAAATACATACATACATAAATAACTATATAATTTACTTCAAACATTGATAGTTATTCTGAACAGACTAGGACAAACTTTAAAACCAAAACATTATTTTCAAACTAGCTTTTTTTAGAATAATAAATTCTATTAATATTTTCATATTTTTTATTAGATGGAAGAAGAATAAGTGTTTACCCTGCTTCCTCCTTTAGCTGGAAATAGTACAATAACTTAGGATCCATATTTTAAAATATTTTACAGATATTTTGGGTTAATAAGAATATCATAAACTGAATTGTGGTTGATTTAAGCATCTGTTAACAATAAAGAACAAAATGTGTATTTTCCCTCAGTCAGCTGTGAATGTAAAGCTATTTCTGTCAACAAGTAATGCATGTTTGGCTAACATACATATGATTATTAACTTTTCCATATGATTAGTAACTGAAGCATGGGGTTGAGTGTCCAGTACCTTTGCGGCAGCGCAGCGCACAGCCATGGAGCGATCAGTGAGACATGTGCGAGCAGCTTTATAGATGTCTCTGTGACAGGACACGGCACTCACACCTAAACCCTTCAGAATCTTCTCAATACACAACATGATCTCACAGCGGCCCTGAGACTGGACACATTAACACACACACACACACACACATACACACTCACAAACACACACATATTCACACTCACACACACACACTGAGAACAGCTTTCTATATACTCAAAACCATGAGCTTTTCACTTTAGCAAACAAGGAAACAAAAGGCACTTGGAGATGAAAAACAATTTCTAGACTTTCAGAAATGCTTATTAATGGAATACGACAGTAGATAAAACCTGAAGTGCTCAACTTCTGAGCCATGAGTAACTGCAAAATGAATGACTCTTTTTAACCAGTTTTTCTAAACACGCCCCCCATCTGCCATTGGCTGGACAAAGAGATAGCCCCGCCCTCGGCATTTTAAACTGGAGATAAAAGATTTTAACACTTACTGCAAAAAGCGACAAATGAGCTGATAATTATTTTCATAATTATGTTATCACCAATAACCGATAAAAGGCTGATAATATAATTATATTTATCTTCATTTAATCTATTGTCTATTTAAATAAATTAATTCAGAATAAAACCCTAAAATCAATTGTTTTAAATGTTACATTTGATTTCAGTAATTATAACTGTTAACCATTTTCTCACTTATTAACCAGGATGTTTATATGACATTAAGTAGTTTAACTAATACATTTAATAAAAAAAAATCAATGAAATGTAACAAAAGAATATATGTTACATAGCATGGGCTCTCTATATGTGACCCTGGACCACAAAACCAGTCTTAAGTCGCTGGGGTATATTTTTAGCAATAGCCAAAAATACATTGTATGGGTCAAAATTATTGATTTTTCTTTTATGCCAAAAATCATTAGGATATTAAGTAAAGATCATGCTCCATGAAGATATTTTGTAAATTCCCTACTGTAAATATATCAAAACTTAATTTTTGATTAGTAATATGCATTGCTAAGAACTTCATTTGCACAACTTTAAAGGTGATTTTTTCAATATTTTGATTTTTTTGCACCCTCAGATTCCAGATTTTCAAATAGTTGTATCTCAGCCAAATATTGTCCTATCCTAACAAACCATACATCAATGGAAAGCTTATTTACTCAGCTTTCAGATGATGTATAAATCTCAATATTGAAAAAATTGACACTTAAGACTTTTGTGGTCCAGGGTCACATATAAATACAGCACAATCACATAACAGAGAAAAGCAACTCTTTGCTGGTGCAGGATAAAAATCGCTCCATGAATGTTTCCCTTAAGTGACAGTATTTTAACAGCATTCCATATTGGTTTTGTGTTTGTTGTTGAGAGATTCTATATCTTATGTTTTAATCCAAACGCAATCCCAATACAACTGCCTTGAAAACCAAGATTGAGAAGCAACCACTAAACACAACTCCATTATGACTGGGAAAATGAGTTTTCGGAAAGCGAGCGTAGATTTGGCGTAAAACATGGGGCTCTTATGTAGTTTGTAAACAGTACTGCAACGTGCCCATCTCAGCAGTCTTTGGTTAAATGATATAAAAACACCTCAAGACATCAATACAAGAGCAGAATGTCAAACAGAATGAATTCCATCAAGATTCATTTCATTCAGATTCCTTTCAAAACCTCGACATTCCTTAAAGGACTTGTTGATAATACAGTGTTGGTTAAATGTCACCATCTTTTCTTAAAATACGGTGATGGGGGAATATGTAATTTTGATGCTTTTTTTCAAGCTATATCTTGGTTATTAATCTCAGAATATTCACTCTGATTAACCACAATACGATTAGTCAGTTTCTTCTTCATTTAGTCTGCAGTAGAAGATGTTTTAGTGTCATATTGTGTTTAGTCACTTGTGATGTTAAATGATACGGGTCACTTTAGGTTTGGATTAAGTGCCTTTTGCATCAGAATAAGCTAAATTGTTTTAAAACACTTCTTAAAGGTGTCCTGCAATGCCGATTTGATATAGGGAAAATGTTATCCTCTTTGATAATTCATACTGCTTGCAATCTGCACTCAAAATAAAAGGACAAATGCAAATATATATATTGTCTTTTAGTCAGAAAGCACTAAGCCATTCCATTTTTAATTGGAAAAAAAAGACAGAAAACCAATTCACAGCGACTATTGATTTTGTTAGCTTTAGTGGAAATCCATGATGCAGCATGATGTTGAAGATGGTAAACACACCGCGGAAGTGACAGCGGCGTCAAGAGTTGAAAAGCAATCATCTTCAGCACTTAAACGTGGGTGAATCGTACTTGAGATGTTTAGGAGGACACAATCACAGCATTCAGTGGCGCTGAAGGTCATGTAACACGTGAAGGTTGAAAGCTCAGGACATTTCTTTCGATCGATTCCTCTGACCCTCCACTCTCCAAAAAGTAAATAAGAGCCAAACAAACAATATATTTTCAACTACACTGAAACGATGCTCTGAAATGGCATGATTGTGTGTGAGATTCGATTCCTGCAATAGACTGCTGTGCTCACATGCTGCATGCTAACTTAAAGGAACACTCCACTATTTTTGAAAATAGGCTAATTTTCCAACTCCCCTAGAGTTAAACAGTTGAGTTTTACCGTTTTCGAATCCATTCAGCCGCACCGAAATGAGGCACTGAAATCTGCGTTCGGATTCGGTTCTAGTACATACCGGTTACATAGGTACCGGTGCCATATTGGTACCGGGTTTCGGTACCCAACCCTACGGGTCCCGCAATCCCGCCGTCCAGCAATTTGGTGCATAACAAGAATGATGGAGTTACATAAACACTAGGCTTGCTGCAGTAGCCGGTGCTACTCAGTGTTCGGTTGTACACAGATTCCAGTACTTTCCCACCGCGGCCCCATCCCCACTGTCATTTTTCTTTTTTATAGAAATACAAATAATTTAGTTCAGATGGAAAACGTACCTACACTAAATTGAAAGCTTCTGCTCTGCTCCATACAGCCAGGGTTGCCAGGTCTGCGTGACAAAACTAAACCATGCCAATGGTTTAAAAACAGCCCGAAATATGTCCTTTCCATACCTAAAACACATATTTTACAGTCAATGTTATGCACATTGATCATAAGCAGAGCTCAAAGGCTTCCTACCAGTGGCCCTCCTTCACAAACCTTAACATTTAGGCAGTTTTATCTTAGGTAGAATGCCAAATATTTCAGTACAAGCATTTCAGTCAAATATAATTTATGCACTATTTCAAACCTTTAACCCACAGGAAAAAAATCTACGGAGGCCCTAAAGGGACCTTTCCAAAAATAAAAAAATACACAGACTATCGCGTGCGCATGAGAAACCCCGTTTTTTTTGTTGGGGTTCCCCTGGCAAAATTCACATTCCCGGGGCTAAATGTCACGTTATTGGGGTCGCTTCAACCCGCGGACATGAAAAACAAACAACCCTCAGCAACAATGTTAAAGTAGCACAAAAACCGTGGACTTGGCAACACTGCAAGTGACAGATTTCAGCTGCCGCTTCAGTCTCTATTTATTTATTTTATAGCCGAGTGTCCACCAAAGTGTTTTTCCCCGAGGCTGGCACATTTTTTCCTTTGTTTTAAAGGGGAGCGCCACGTTTTTTAAAAAGCCAGGAGTGTGCCGCACGCTGAGCGTCTTTTTCACACCGAGCGCTCGGGCGTTTTTTCTCGGCACAGAGAGTTGAAGAAGCAGCACTCATCACTGTCACTTTTTAGTCAGCTGACCAATCACAGTGAAGGAGGGGCGGGACTAATAAAGTCCAAAAGTCACGCTTGTATTATGACTGGACAACAATGGAGAAGTTCATATTGCTTGTCTCCGAGTATTTATGTCTTTTACTAGATGGAATTGCTGGGCTACACATTGTTGTTATGAAAAATAAAGCTTGGAGAAACATTTCATTCGCGATGCATCTGCCACATTACTTCAGCGGATATTCTGTATCATAGCAACCGCAGCATCTCAACTGAAAAAACGCAAGCACTCACAGCTGGCTAAAAACGCTTCGGTGG